GCCCTCCCCGCCCCCTGCCGCGGCGCGCGTCACGCACGCACATGGCCGGCTAAATGCCTGGACGGCGCCGCGCGGAACGCCCGTAGGGGGCCGGGGCTGCGGCTTGGGGTTGGGGGCCGTGGCGGAGGCAGGCATTGTCTCCCCAATGAGCCCCGCGTGCCGCTGGCTGGCGTTTAAATGGCACGGGTTAGTGGAGGCATGCTCCAGGCCGTACCGAGCTCCCAAGTTTCTGGAGCCGTTCATTATGTATTACTGCTATTACAATTATTAATATATATTTACCCCTCATCTCTATGGTGACTACATTAATTGTACAAGACAATTAATCACAGAACAAATCATGATTATAATTTTGAACCCAATTATGACAGTTGATTTCCCACAATTTTCCTGATGATTTCAGACATTTAGGTGATGGTAATCCTCTGAACAAGCCTCCACAGGTTCTCAGGAAACTCCATATCTATGTCATACTATGTCTGTGATACTCCATATCACAAACCCAGATGAGTAGCTTAAGATGGGCGTAGCGTAAGTGTTAATAGCTTTGGAAGTATTCCCTCGTTTACGCTCAGTTTTTAAAATTCTTCGAACTGTCTGGCCGAAATCGGCAGTCAGTTCATTCCTTATTCAAGTGTGCGCAAAGCGCGTAGCATGTTTAATTTGCGGATAGCAGTATGTCTCTTCAGCTTGCATCCCGCATATTCTTCCACAGGTCGCGATTTTATAAGCGGTAGTTGGCAGCATTCCAACAAACTCAGAGCTCGGCATTTGCCCAGTCTAAATTGCATCCTCATAGTCGTTCGACAATTCGTTCGTGGCTTGTTAGACGACGCATTTAGTTTACATAGTCTATATACGCTGGATGGTTAATGCAATATAATATTTTAATTCATAATTCTCTACTCTGTGGCGTTTAACATATTTGGAAAAGAGGTTCATGCACAATATAAGCCATAGTGGACGTAATGAATTTCTTTGAAGTATCCCACGTTTGATAGAGATGACATCGGTCTAACTGTTTTGACTTGTTGCTATTATTATTATTATTATTATTATTATTATTATTATTATTATTATTATTATTATTATTTCCATTCAATTATTTCCATCCACGGACATGAACGTTCGTCAGTGACTTTGCTCCTACGTTGGAATGAGAGGGTTGTATTAATAATAATTTAATATACTAATGCTAAGCGGACTCACACTCGTGTGTGTATGTGTGTCAAACGAAGGTGTGAGTACGTGAATGAGTGTACGTGTGAGTGTGTGGTATGAGAGTGTATGTGTGTCAGGAAGTGTGATTGAGGGTGTCTGTGTGAATCTGTGAAATATAGTGTGTGAGCGTCGGGTATGTCGGAGAGAGAGAGAGAGAGAGAGAGAGAGAGAGAGAGAGAATGAGTATGTGTGTGTAGTATGAATGTGTATGTGTGAGTGTGATTGAATGTCTCTGTGAATGTGATTGGGTTACTGTGTTTATCTGTGAGAATAGTGTGAGTATTAAACGCATCGATATGGCTGTGTTCAAACTGATACGTGCCTGTACGTCGCCTCGCCAAACGACCGCAAGGGGCGGGAGACGCGGAGCCGAGGGGGGCCCAGTCGGTTCGGTTGAGGGGGCCGGTGGGGATCGAGCGAGGGGGGTCATTGTCTCCCCTATCAGCACCGCGTGCAGTCACTGGCTGACGTTATGTCACAAGCGCGGGGCAGTCACGATCCCTCGAAATTCGCCTCACAGCGAGGGGCGCACATTCTAGATCGCTATGTGGAACTAAGCGTTCAATAAAAATGTTTGTTGATAATTGTGTTTCATCGTAGTCGTAATAATAATAATAATAATAATAATAATAATAATAATAATAATAATAATAATAATAATGAATCTGTGGGCTTCCTTTATTTCTATTTATCAAAAATAATGTCTGTAATTTATGAATGTTACCTTTTTGCACGCTGAAGATCGCAATGCATTTTTATTTATTTATTTATTTATTTATTTATTTTCGTATGTTTTTCGTTTGAACTGTCATATAATTAGAAACAACAAAATTTCAGGACTGCGAAAATAAATTATTAAAAAGAATCATTATTATAATAATGTGAGACGAAACAAAAATAAAAATATTACGAGACAAAACATTTTATCTAAACAGCCTATTTTACAAAGGGAGAGAGTTGAAGAAAAGTGTTTTTTTTTTGTTTTACACAAAAATGTGTGTGTGTGAATGTGTGTGTCAGCGTGCCCAGGGCGGCTCCAGAAATGTGTTACTGAAACTGTACCCCCTCTTGAAAATGTGTATTGAAAATGTCTTTTAAAAATTCCATCAAAATTTAACATATTTTAAAAATATCAGACATTAAACATTTCTAAAGTCTAAATTGAAACTTTTCTAGTTGGAAAAGTAGAACTATTAGAAATATTTATAAAAGAAATTAGATGTTTCATTTTCAAATTGTTCAGGAATTAAAATATAAAAAATTGAAAGTAAGGTAGAAAATAGTTAAATGTCGTTAAAACCACAAATTTGATCAATTAAAAAAATGTTTCCTTCATTTTTTATGTTGAATATTTGAATATTTTCTGCAGCCGCCTTGCCGTGTTCCTTGCAAAGGAACACGGCATGAAGCAGTGGCACCGCACGACACGGCATGGATTAGTGCGTATGCAACGAGCGCTGTCACAAGTGCTACGATGCATACTCAGCCACTTTGAAGCAGTCACATCCAGGGGTATTGGGAGAAATTCTACCAAGTGATTATTTCTTGGGTGGCAAATAGAAGTATTTCGATAAAAAAAACTGCAAATAGAAGTAGTTCGGTCTTTTGACAGAAACATTTGAATCTGCTTATTTTAAGGACATAGCCGTCAAAGGGGCTTGAAATTGCCCTCAAACCAAATCGTTAATCGCGATACTCATATGAAAGAGAATAAAAAGTACGGTAGATTCCCAAAAAAATCAGCCTCCTAGGGCAATCTGTTACAGAGATACAAGAAGAAACGTGTTTTTCATCTTTTTTCTCAGCTTCTATTGCATGTATCAGGCTAAAAAAAATGGAGGGACAGAGAAAAATAGTTGAATTTGAAGAAATTTTTGTCAAAAAATTTTAGCGGCAAATTCAAATAGAAAAAAATACATTTTGAAATAGATTTTTAACGAGATAACGTTGGACTACTGTTTCAGTTTTTCCCCTAGAACGTTACTGATAACATTCTATTCTATATTTTTTTAATACTTTTAAACAATATGGACGCAAAATAATTAAAACTAGTTTTATGAGTTAAAAAATTGAAATTTGCGTCCAAATGTGATTGGAAAAAATGTAATCAGTGCTTAAGCAATTTATATTTAAATTATTGAAAAGTCTTAGCATTGTTTACAACTTTTTGATATTAGAAGTTTTTGTGTATTCTTTCAGTGATATACAGACGATTTTAATAACAAGAGTTCCTTAAAGAGGATCCAAATTGTTTAAACAAGTGTTTGTACTCCTAGAGTTAAATGCACTAAATAATATGACATCAACACCATTTCCATGTAAAGTTTTGTTTTTTCAAAAATTAAATAAATATTTTTATACATTTCTCACGTCGTTAACATTTACTTTTAAGGTGTATTCTATAATTTATTGCTTTTGTGAGTACAAATAGTTTCTTATGAAGATTCTCAAAATATCAAATGTGTTCTCTGAAACTGAACTCAAAATAGCGTGATGTGAATAACAAAGGAGTAACATTTGCTCAAAAATAGCTTCAAATTTTTCAAGGAAAATTTGCTTACAAAACAGAATTACGTTTCTATGACATTTATTAATTTATCTTAGCGGCTGCAAAGGGCCAATGGCCAAGTTACAATAAATAAATAACTTTTTTTATAAAACACTATTTTGTCGATATAATAAAATATTACATGAAACCATGAAGTTACCTGATACGGAGTGAAAAAATATTTTCTGAAGAGTTAGTTAATTTTAAGAATACTATTCATTACCGAGAATGTTGATAGATTTTAATGGTGAAAAATAATTTGGATTTTTACTATGGAAGGGATTGGCTCCAATGTCATTAAATTACGAAAATTCGATCATGCAAACACATTAAAGGCTGCGTATGCACGGAACGATCTCTTTTAGTAGATAGCTTATTATTAGTTTTATAACATTAAATTAATGTTATGAAACATATCCGTAACACGATTACAATAGTGGAACTATCGACTGTTTCGGTCTAGAGAGACAGGGGTTTAAGGCGGTTGAGACCAAGAAAGTTGACACTTTGAATTCGAAACCCACGTAAGACATTAATTTTTTCCGTTGTGCCTTAAGCGTGGTGGACATTCCGAGTCTCTCGTGTATTACATATGCCGTAATCCTTTCACGGCCTCCAGACCAGTCACACAACAGTGTGCATTCAGTGTTTAATGGTGGAACGTACATCCAGAACAATGGTACAAGTACCAATACAGATGCAAAGAAAGCCACGGGCAATAAAGCACTCGCAGAGAGAGGTCTACGCGGGGTTCGGCGAACGCGAAGGAGCTCGCCTCTGGGAGCGTCGCCAGAGGGTTGTGCAAAACCAAAAAGCTAACCTAGATTGAATGGTTGGTTATGTATATAATGAATGGTTATGTATATAATGAAACTAGTATGAATGATGTGTGAATGTAGAAAAATAATAATAATAACAATTTACCAACAATACAAAACACAAATTACGTAGAATATATAAAATAGAATTACAAAAATGATTTTAGTGTAAGTTAGTAATGCCAAAGTGCGATTAAGATAACTTTAGGTCTAGATTGTAAATTAGTTGTAAGAAAAAGCCCCGCCTGTAGCTGCTTAAGCCGCAAGGCAGCAGCGTAATATAAAAATTTTTATAGAAAATAAATTCCCCTTCTTCACACGGTTACTGTGGAGGGGTCAAAACAAGGTAACCTAGACACAAGGAAATAGGAAACTATGTAGTACTTGTAACTAATTAGTCTGTGCTGATTGTGGCACCACTAATGTTAATTTCTTTTCTATTTCTAATATTATTGCTTTGGTTACTTTATAAGCCTTATAGCAGAAATAAATATTTATTTGCAAAAGTCAAGTGAGTTCTTTGTCATTATACCGATATTTCGAGAGACAATAGTCTTTTCGTTATTATTGCTATTTCAATCATTCAATGAGTCTTTACTCATATACCTTTGATACTCACAGAAAGGTTTATTACTGTAGGCGCAAAAGTTTTTTTAACGGACCTCTAATTAAGTAATTACATATATATATATATATATATATATATATATATATATATATATGTGTGTGTGTGTGTGTGTGTGTGTGTGTGTGTGTGTGTGTGTGTGTGTGTGTGTTTTCTTTTTTTCTCGCTGAATCCTCCGAGACAGCAGTATATTTGAATATTTCTCAGCTCCAAAACGTGTGAGGGACTGCGTTCAGAAATAAGAAAGAACTCCATAGAGGTTTCAGTGAAACTCCATGTCCAATCATTTTGACATGACATTGAGGAGCGAAAACAAATTGAGTTTGTAGTAACTGGATATCAAAGCAAACGAAAATACACTATGTCATTAGTGAGATATTAGCAGCAGATGTCAGATTCAGTAAACAAGGAGCGCGTTATATTAAGAGCGATAAGAACTGATCATTTGCGACCTAGAAACTGTGCAGAGGAAGCTCTTATTATGCATGTCTACGCATGAAGAAGTGGAAATAGGACGTGTGCAAATGTGAGTATGAAGACGCACATCCACCATTACACTATAATTTACGATCAATACACCAGACTGGTGAGTTGGTTGAATATTATAGTGTTATCTACGATTTAATATTCAGACGGTAACTTCAATTATTACATTTCTCGCACCACTTATTGATCATCAAAAGCAGTAACACGTGAAAGCCTTCGTTGACAAAACAGCTCATACGGCAGTGGCAGTGGATGTTGTCATCCCATTAAATCCTAACTTGTTTTCTTCTGCGACAAAAGGAAAAGTGTCAACCACCAACATTTGAATTTAAACTACAGTATACCAGATTACAGAAGACTTTTCGCCGTTGTAACGTCTTGTAATAGTCTTGTTTTTCTCAGTATTGGAATATTGCCAATGAGAAACTTCAATTGGGCAAGTGAATTTGTGAACGAAGCAGAGGGCAACATATTTGCTCACATCAAACGTATTTAGGCACTCGACGCCTAAGTGGCCTATACTGTTGTATACACATGTTAACGTTGCATAAATAAGCGAATGCATAGTGCAACAGGTCGCTTAAAATACAACTAACAACTAAAGGTAGATATGTAAGCCTTCCAAGTATCAATGAGGACCAAATCTGTAGAATGGGGATGTAATAATAATAATAATAATAATAATAATAATAATAATAATAATAATAATAATAGAAATAATAATAATAATAATAATAATAATAATAACAATAATAATAATAGAGAACTTTTTTATTTTCCTTAATATAAAATATGTTTTCAGTTGATGACTTTTAGTAAATATGCACAAGGTAATTGATACATTGAATGATTTTCATTAATACAGAAAATTAGTAAAAACTTCAATTTTTAATAGTGCTGCATTCGCCCACAGTGTGAGAAGACTCTTTCAGCGCAAACAATTTGCTTATTAGCTGCCGATGACGGAGCTCCTTCATCCATTTGCGCCCGCCGCGCTGCGAACCACCACCACCTCCCCTCCTCCTCCTCCTCCTCCTCCTCCTCCTGCCTCCTCCTCCTCCGCCTCCGCTTCCTTCCTCCTCCCTTCGTGTGCCTCTCGCGCCTTCTGCCACTTGCACTCCGGCGTCCCTCATGCCCTCCTCCTCCTCTCCGCCACTGCAACTCCATCCGCCTCTGCTCCGTCTTCCCTTTGACTCATCTCCGCCCCGTCATAGATCATTCTCTGTGCCTCCGTTCTATCTCCTCTCCTCCGCTGCGCTTCCTCTCCACTTGTCCCCCCGCTCCGCTCCGCGCCGCCACGCCAGCTAACCAGCCGCCAACGTGCGCCGGCGCGTGCCGCTGGCCTCTGGCTGCGCGGTCGGCATCGGCGTCGGCGTGCCCTCTCAGCGAGCCGCGTCACGCGCGCCGCCGTACCTCCGCCCCCCTCCCCGCGCGCCTTCCCCTCCCGCGCGGCGCACGGCCTCCCGGCCGCGGCGGGCGGCGGCCGGCGGCGGGGGGCTGCCCCCGCGCGTGTGGGAACTGGTCGGCGGTCGGGGCGTTCGCCACGCTGGCGGGCCCGGACCTGCGGCCCCGGCACGCGGCACCCTGGCGTCGGCCGGCGACGAGCACTGCGGGCCCGGCCGCGCGCCGGCGCGGGTGCCGCCGGTCCGCGCCAGCGCGCGCCCACGCACGCCGCTCGCGCTGGCTGCTGCCTGCTGACCGCGCGCGGCCCGCGCCAACGCTCGCCGCCCGCACGGCGCTGCGGACTAGGGGCGTAGGACTTTTTCCGATTCCCGTGCGTGGTGGAAGCGCGGGAACTACAACCTTTATGACTCAAAACTGACTCTTTGAACTACACTATTCGTACCACACTCAGTATTAATAATTAACACATCTCTAACGTTATACACAACACAATCATAATTATTCTTTGTTAATGTTTGTTATGTTGTTATATTATAATTACATTTATTATTATTATTATTATTTATTATTATTATTATTATTATTATTATTATTATTATTATTATTATTATTATTATTATTATGTTATTCAGGACTGCTTTATCGAAGATTTACCACAAAATGTAAACGAAAGAAACGAAATTTCATCGAGAAGTTGTCTTCAATAACAGAGTGAAACTATGATACCGAAAATCGCAGTACATGGCCAAAATTAGCAACGTTACGAGCAGACCTTCCTTTTTTATTTATACCATTTTTCTCTTTAACTAATGCATTTCAACTTATCAGGAGTGGTTTAACGCATAAGCAGACAATGCACTTGCTTAGATCGTCCGGTTTCCTGGGGGCAATAATATTATTTTACATGTAAAACCCAAAGGCGCTGACGTCATTATTCTGACCCTGTTCACCATAGTCTATTAATAGCACAACAGTCCATTTCACTTTCTATGCCCCCTTCTACTTTTAGGCCACGTTCCCCGCCATGAACCATGGGCCTACACACGATGAAAAATTACCTCCGCTCTGACTCTTTTCCTCATGTTTACTTCATTGTTGATGCGAAGAAACCAACAAACAAATTTCAATTTGCTATGCCAAAAAAAGCTGCAATTTTCCTCATAATAATTAAATAAAAACGTATTTAACTAGTAATTAATTAATGGGGAATAAATACCTACTGTAAATAAATTATACGTATCAGACAATGATGTGGACGACTTAAACTCATTTCAATTTTAATTATTTGTAAAAATATCCATTTGCAATTCCCTGAAATCAAATTATATCATTTTATTATACTATTGTTTCTGCGTTAATTTCTTATGGATATAATAGTCATTGCAACATTTCTAAAATATTTCTATTTTTGTTATTTTCATGCTTAATTTTAGTAAGTGAAGAGGTATCTAATATATCCATAATTCGATATTCTGGAACTTACATTCGTATAGACTCATTTATTGGAAATAAAAAAAAATTCTTCAAACATAAATAGAACTTGACAGATAATTAGATATCAGCAACTTGGTTAAATCCGGAATATTTTATATCTAAATAAAAATCTTCATTTAAAACAAAAACCCTTTCAATATCACAATCGATTAAACGAAATTAATACAGCCTAGAGCCTGTGGTTACGGAACTGTTACAATCTTAACTAATATTGAATCTTTTGTTTGCGTAAGAGCTATAATTTCTAAGAGAAAATTGTTTCATGTCCGTTTTCATGAAAAAACATCATAACATTTCTGTATGCGTTTGCGGTAGCTAAAAAATAAAGCATTCGATGAGACAGTGTAAGGAGACTTAATCCACAATTTTGGGGAAATATGGTGACAGTTTTTCATTTCGTAATTTATAATCACTGTCAGCCCAAGTTTTTGCGAACATCTGCCCACAGTGTTTACTTAATGTTCAGTACAGCAAAAATGAAATTTCGTAAATTCATTTCACAATATTTCATTTGGAGGAGGAAGCAATTTGTCTCATGAAGCAAATAAAATGGTTGCAACTTCTTAATAGGAATTACATTTCAGATTGGAGAAGTTTTCAAGGTATGTTCGCCTATCTCTATCCTTGGAAAAGCTGTGTAAAATCCTCGGATTCGCCATTTAACCATTCATCATTTTAAGGAGATGATGATTATCAAAATTAATGTTAAGCCATTTTCCATACATAATAAACTATAAAGTGAAGCATTTATTTTTAGGTAACAAAAGCACGGGAAATGAAAAACTTAATTACCTCTGTAAAAAAATTGAAAAGTTTAGAGATAAAGTTTTTTTCATTAGTACATGCTACATCCGCCCCTTATTAAATCAATCAAATGTTTGAATCCCGGTCTATATATGAAAATATGAATGTGGTCTTGAATGTTAAATTTTATTTTTTCCCCAACCCAAATATACTGATCTTTTAATCCACGAAAAATACCACTGTTGGCGCCATAAAACTATTGCCTATAGCTTGCCTGATTCTACCTACAAATCAAAATATTACTTTCACTCAAGTGCTTATTTAATAACAATTACCTGGTTTCCCAAATTGCCCATTTCAATTTTTAAGTTAATCAAATTAAAATATTTTCAAAAAGGACAGATGTTTGGCTTCAATTTTAATAATTTTATAGGACTAACACACATCCGCAAACATATTTTCTGACTGACAGATATAAAATAAATTCTTCTGTCAAACCAAACTTTCGATATTTTTCTCAGTCTGACACACGCACAAACACACACACACACACACACACACACACACACACACACACACACATACACATTCACGTACACACACTTATAAACTATATGGGTGCATGATACATCCACTGTAAATGTCTTTTACCGATCACGTAGCTAGGAGGAAAAGAGGGAGGTAAAGCCCTATCCAAAATATAAAAAATATCACTTAATCGTACGCGTTGATGGTTTGCAGTAGGAATTATCAAATAAACGACTGTTACATATAAAGCCAAATAAATTACATCCTGGTATTTCAAATCTCCGAGAGATGGAAAAGATTCAAAATTGCTTATTCGTGATTCGCGAAATGATTTGTTAATAGGTCTCAATTTGGTCTTGAATACTATCATATAAGCACAAACATCTTCTGAAAACTAAATTCTCTCTTAAATATCTAACTTAACCTTTTATTGACAGAAATGTATTAAAAAACTCGGGGTAGAAATTAGTAATTTTGTCCAGCGAGGCGTTGAAAATTAGGCCGGGGGGATGATATGACTTCAATGAAACGAAGATGATCTTCGCATAAGCAGCCCCAGTATTATTTTGAGTATCACTAATAAAATAGTAAAAAATATTGTTAACAGTAAAATATTCTACATGATTTTGAACTAAAATTACATTATTTTTAATAACTTTTAAGTGACCGTTATCCAGCAGGTGCTTAGTTCACTTAGGTATTCATCCACACCTGGTAGCCGCTCTGTCTCTCCCATACACACACCCTCCTTCTCCCTTCTTCCCCCTCTCAATTTCTCACACCCTCTCTCTCCCTCCGCAAGTCCCTTCCTGCCTGCCCCGCCCCTCAGCGACCGTTCCATTCACCCTCGGCTTGTGGCGTACTGTTCGCGCGCTCCGAGCCACTGTCCCTCCTCCTCCTCCTCACGGGCTGCCGACGGCGCGTGGGGAAGGGAAGGAGGAGGGGGGAGGGGGGCTTAAGCCCGCGGGCGCGCGGCGCACACCGTCACTCATTCTCGCGCTGCCGTTGCGAGCACCCGCGCGCTCTCCGTCAGTCGCTTGTCGCTGCGCTGCTTCGCGAACGAGTGTTGCGTGCCCGTCCCTGCAGCCCTGGCGCCCTGCCACCCAGACATGCTGGCCGCCGCCGCCACCTCGCCCTTCGCGGCCCCGCCGCCACCGCCCGCGCTGCCGCCTGTGGGCGCCTACGACTACGACGAGCAGCCCGTCTCCAGGACATACCAGTACAGGAAGGTGAGTGACATCGCCAGTGCAGGGATTATTTATCTAAAATTATTATTTTTTACGACCTATGCAATCGAATTTTACTTGCATGATGTGTCATTTTTGTTTTCAAAATATTGTCATAATTATAAAAATTAAAATAAAAAATTGTCGTTACATCTTAATTAAAGGTCAGGCGCTATTTCGTACAAACAAGCTTTTCATCAAGGCGTTCACTTCCATATTGTTAATTTATGTTGCCTATTTTGTAATTTAGTTAATTTTTTTTGTAAAATACAAACAAAATATATTGGTCGTAAAAATAATAATTTTATGCTATCTCTACAATACATATGTATAATTTATTTATACATTTATTTACTTTTCTTAATATTGTATTGTTATATCGACTATTGGCGAAAAGAAACAGAGAAACGAAACGTCGCTCTTAACCTCGCGTCCGTTTAGGATTTCAACAATCCGCCACCCGTTAACAACAATCGAAACAAATGAGATGAAGCTAAAGGTCGCGCCTCAGCAGACTCGGAATCAGACGTAGAATTTCTTGTTTATAAGAATAGGAAATATGAACAGTACAGAACTACTCGTCAACCAAACATGGAGACGTCTGTTATTTGCTGTTTATCGGCTTAATGACATTAATACAGCGTTTGGTGCGTACATATAGCATACAGTCAAGGAGAGAACAATATAATAAAATATGAAACTTTTTCCTATAACATATCGGGTGAAAACAACGCATAAGCGAGAGGTACAATAAAAATAGCATAATACTGACTTTGGTGTGATGGGGGCTTTTGGTAATGGCAGACGATCGCTCTCCCTCTCTCAGCTCAGTTTGTTTTATTTTCCTTCTGCAACAATTTCCAAATTTATCTTACGGCAGCATTTACCTTGTTTCTCAAGACAGCTCTCCATGATCAATGATTGTGTGAACGATGTACTTGTCAGAACGTTACCTCTTGATAATAATGTAATTGATTTATTCAACATCATAGTCCTTGTGATTTTATTTTATTTCTGCATATTTTATGTCAATAGGATTTTTATGCCTATTTTCTGTCAGTTTTGATGATAATTATATTGTCATTGATGTAATTCTTTAATTATGCCCGGTTTAATTTAATTTTTGATTTGCGCGCCAATTCTAATGAGTTAATTGAAGTATTAATTTGTTTTCTATTGTCAATACATTTCTATGACTTATTCTGTCAATCCGCACCTCACCATAATATCGTTAGCTTATGTTCATAATGGTGTATTGACATTCCTTAATTTAATCATTTTGATCCTTTGTACTTTTTTCATTGCAATAATTTTAAATTAGTGTGTTGTAACATCTACCTCTATTCTTTTTCTTGAACAAATTTTATTATATCGAGACTTTTTCGCCGGGGGCCATCACTATCTCCATCAATTTATGAGAACCATTACATCCTTTTTCAATATTCTCAAGGCCGACACTTGCTGAAAATGACACGACAGTCAATGTATGACAAATTAGGCGACGGATTCATCATATGTTGTTTTCATCAAAGAGTAGATTTGATTGTGATTATATTAACCACTTTGTAGCAATGAAGGCATGTCACAGTTAGCAAATTGTCTTGTCACAAGGGAGATTCGGCATTATCTCTATTAATATGGAAATGGTGTGGGGGACAAATTATGTTGCCAGCAGATTTGTTGTTTCGTAGACGTGCAATACACCCAGTACTTCTGTAGACATATTCAATATAAATTTTTCATCCTTAGTCTATTCTGTGATATAATTTATCTGTAAAATCTGGTGAATATTTTAATTAATAGCACGATATATGATGATTTATATCCTACGACAAATCTCGTGTTGTTGCTCAGCGTTTATCTTTCTTGAGTTTAAATGACTTTCTGAAATATGCATTTATTACATTTTTATATTAAATAAGATATTGCAAAGACAATAGATCTTAGTCCATTCTAATAGTCTGGCGACTTAAGTAAATTGAGTTTTCGTCATGAAGTTGAAGTTCATCGCTGTCTCCGGGTGTGAAAAGGGGGCGTGGCGGTTGCTCATATGGACGCGAACTCACGCGATCTATTGGCAGTACTGGCAAACTAAGACGGCATGATAGTTGGCTTCGACAACAGATCGCGCCATTTGAATTATTGGAGAAGACGTTCGTGAAGTTATATTTAAAAGTAATGTATTGAGATTATTCCGAGTCCTTAAATACATTTTGACTTTCTTTAATTTTTCTCATAAATGAAAATAATAGTAATTTCTGTTCAATCTTGCACAAATATTTTCTTCGTTGCACGATCGCTACATTTTTGATTTGTTAAAAGGCTTCGAATCTACTTCGTATATTTTTATAAATGTTGGAAACCTGTTTGCGATTGGTAAATGAGTTGTTACCTCATCAATATATAATTGTTTATATCCTTACTTAAACAATTAACCAATATGCATTACTTTGTTTGCTATGAAGTGTGAAATGAGCATTGTCAACAATCCATTCCTCGCTTTTGTTTCAACTGTCACTTTGAAAGTTGCGTGACATTAGATTTAATATTCCATTCATTTCCGCGCAGTCTCTTTAGCCTTATAGTAGAGCCTTAGGGTATCTGAGCCTGTCAGCTGGAAAGACCATGGTGATTAACGTTCTCGTTCCGTGTCTGCGCAGGTGATGAAGCCCATGCTGGAGCGCAAGCGCCGAGCCCGCATCAACCGCTGCCTGGACGAGCTGAAGGAGCTGATGGTGTCTGCGCTGGCGGCGGAGGGCGAGAACGTGGCTAAGCTGGAGAAGGCCGACATCCTGGAGCTGACGGTCCGCCATCTGCACCGCCTGCGCCGCCGCCGCCGCCTCGCCGCCACCCCGGAAGCAGCCTACGCCGACCGCTTCCGCGCGGGCTTCTCGCAGTGCGCGGCCGAGGTGTCGCAGTTCCTGTCGGGGGCGGACCCGGCGGCGGCGGCGCGCGTGCTGCCGCACCTGGGGGCGTGCCTCGGCGCTGCCAGCCGCACAGCCCGCCGCGCCGCGCTTCCGGCCCCACCAACGGCCCCGCCCCCGCCGCGACCTCCGAACAGGCCGAGGAGGAGCCGCTCTCCGTCGACACGTCGCCCGACGAGACACTGCCGCCGGCCGAGTCCCGCGCCGGCTGGTCAGCCGGTGTAGGCGCCTGGTGGTATGGCTTCTACGTGATGACATGATGGCTATTGTCGTCATGACCACCACCTAAACACTGACGTGATGTCTTGTCACCATTATGTGCCCTCTCGCAGGCTTTGATGACATAATGACTTGGTGCAGATGTATCCTAAGGGCAGCAGAACGGAAGATGCTGAAATCCGCTCGAACGTCATCGATGCTGCGCATAGAGCTCTGTGCAGCGGAAGAAATAACGGTCTCAAGAAACTAGCCAGAGAGCCAGGATCTAGCTCTCTGTCTCTGCTGAATGATACTCTCTGATGTCTATACATCTTTACTGCTCCTTATCTGCATGTCTTTACATTAATTACTTCCTGAGACTCAACACCACATCCTCAATATTTGTGTCAGTTATGATGCTTTGCATTTTCCCTTTAATTAATTTAGTAATTCATAGTTGATTTGTATTAGTTGTTTATTATCCGCAGTTTATTTCTGTACTATTGACACAATTTTCATCGTGTATAAAATTGCGAAATCATGTAATTTACACTTTACAGCATCATTTCTGTTATAAATAATCTAATCAAATGTGATATTGAAATGAATTCATGAGATTCTGCCTCACAAGTCAGCAATCTCTTTTTGTAGTGCCTGAGTGTATAATTAATTTCAATTTAGTAAATTTATTAAGTAGTTGTGATTCTTATTCACCATTCAAATATTTAACTTTTATATATTGGTCTCACATTTATTTATAAGTATTAAAGTGTTGAAATGCCATGAAATGGTTTTGTTCTTTGAAATATTTGTCAGCCAACATGTTGGATCATACAGAAATATGAAAAATATTGTATTATCTAATTTCTTATTGTACTGTAAACAATTTTGACTGTGTAGTTTGGCTGTTTGTTTGTATAAAAGGTTTTAATTCTGGCATTTCAAAATATGATTTGACAAGTCTTGAGAAAAGACTGAGTGTCACTTATTTAATTTTGGTCAATATCAGATTATGTTTTGGGTTATTTTTATTAGCAAGCTGAGCTGAAACACTTAATGCAGCTTATTTTATCATGCAATTCACAAATTTTAAACTCTGAACTTGCATGTGAATGCAAGTGAAAATGATCTTCATTACTTTTGTAAACTTTCACTTAAAATGTAATGCCTGTAAATAACCAAGAATGTTCACATATCTAATGATTTGTAATTGTTATGTTTGAACTATGATAGGAAAAGTAGTGTGATGATTGTACTTGAATGAAGCAGAGACTACACTGAAGTGCTGCTATGTGTGTGAGCCTTATTCATCTAATAGTAGTTACATGGTGGTTCTCAGCCCTCATAGCTGTAGAAACTACAACAGTGTTATTTTCCATAAAAACATAAGTCTCAATTCCTATGAATTGTGACTCAATAACTGTCAACAATTGGTAGATGGTGGTAGATGCTTTTCGGGCACTTGTGTCTTGCCAATGATCTGACTTCGCTTTTGCAGGCTCAGATGCACGAAGTTATGTTAACCTGCTTTACATCACTGATGTCTCTTTTCTAGCCCTTTATGAAAGTTGTTAAAGGCATGCTTCATATTGGAAATGCAAACATCATAATGTGCATGACCTATAGTTTAAATTTCAGTTTTGGAAAACATACTTCATGGTAATTCTAGTTACTAAAATGAAATTTCTATGAACTGAATTATCTTCAGTTCGGAAATCTTTGGCCAAAATTAAGTATTACTATGTCATGCAAATGTTTGATGCAGACTATCCCAATGTTTCTTTTGGGTGAGGATGCCATTATGCCGAAGACTCAGTTATGTCTGCTCCTGAGATGAAGGTGCTACTGTCTGTGATAATACTCGTCTATTGTACCTGCGCATATGCGAATGTAAATATGAAGTTAAACTATTTATATTCTTCTTTTATGTCCAGCTAAATGACAATAAAACTAAACTTTGTACTGTGACTTTCGAATGGAAATTGAAAATAGTAATATTGTTATTACCAAACCAAATTTAATAATTTGAATGATTGTTTGTTTCCATGGAGAGTGTTGTACATATTAGAATTTTATTGAATTTTAACTGGACACTGTTCTCTTCGAGGACTTTTTATATATATTTTTCACATACAGCCAAAGGCAGCTACGTCCTTGTGATACGATAGTATGCGCTTTGATTTTCTGATGATTGCTTCAATAAAGCTTGTTGTGATGAAAAGAGATTGTTTATGTCACCTACTGACAGTTCCAATTTCCTTATTCTAAGAAATGTCATCTGCTGTTCTAAGAGAAAGCAATTTAGATAATTAAAGAAGATATAACATTCCAAATTTGAGTTTCAAATGATCAAAATGTAAAACATTTGTTTCTATAGTGACGAAGAGTAATAGTAATTTTCTAAGCGAATTCTTTCCAGTATGCAATGGCAGATAATACTATATATATATATATATTATAATATATATAATATATATATATATATATATATATATATATATAGTGTCCCGCCGTACATCACTACACGCACTCAATATATACGATATATTTTATCCTACGTTGATATTGCTTTTGTAAGTTCGGAACTCTCAAGATCAAATTGTTGATTTCTCTAATACTGCTCAAAATAAATTTATCTAGATATACATTTTTATTATTCAATTGTTCGATCATGTCTGAATCTGATAAACATTTTTTCCGCTACCGTTAATACAAAATTTTATTCTCCTAATAGAATCGGAAATCAAACTCAATGAACCAAGGAATAAATTTATACGAAATATATTCACGTTGCTAAAACTCATTCGAAGAAGTTTTCAATGTTTTATAAAACTTTCAGTAAAACACATTGTATTAATTTTATTAATGAAAAAATAATACAATAAAACAATTGTGCATTTCGTAAACAAAAGTTTCCAAAACCAATTTAAAGTTTCCAATTCTAAAAACAAAAAGATTGCTAAAGTACTTAAGACAGTACTAGAGATTTAATTGCCAGTTCTAGCTTTACCAATTCAATACTCTCAGAATTCGAACTAGTTTATTAGAATCTTTTAATTGCTGAAAAATAATGTATTTTTTTGTTATTTACCAAATAGTGACCTGCAAGTCTTGCGGGATAATGGAACTTTGGGTAAATGGTTAAGGATGGTCAATCCATCGTTCACCCCCTTGGACCGGACTTCTACGCCTGATGCCCCCATGCAATCAAAATATTAAGACTCCTTTTTAGTTTGTTTAAATTGTGGTACTGGGCGCGTCAGCTGCTAACGTCATTAGTCCGTAAGCGTAGTGCATGTTTTATCGCGGCGGGGAGCGGGGCGGTGATTTCTCCCGCAGGATCCGGTGCCAACCTACGTCGGCATTCCGACATTTTCCCTAACCAGGTATCTCCCACCAGCGTGGCACCGCTCCAGCTAAGCAAGCTTTATGCTCCCGCCTGCCCTCCTACAAGTGTGGTAGTGTTGAGCATGTGATTGTAACTTGTGTAAATGTACGTGAGGGTGAGAATAAGACAAGGAAGAGGAAGCAAAGATCACACGCGGTCCGGTGCACGTTTGTACTGGGTTCTGCTCCGGCATTCAGCCGTGTTCTGGCATTCCGTGTGCACACCGCACTGACAGTTCTCTAAATACGTGGTGCAAGCAACGTTAGTATTTGTTATATCATTGTCTTTTATAATTTCCCCTTATTTATAATTAATATTAATTGCCGCCGAAATACATTTTTTTAAAACTTTCTCTAGTTTTCGATTTCCAATTAGTAGAGTCGAAATATTACTTAAAGAATAGTATAGAAGAGTAAAAGCTCGTTGAATACGGAAATTTTCATTGAAACATTTAGAGTCGTTTATATAAAAATGGTGTTTAAGCGTCACGGTAAACGCGAAATTTGAAGCTCTTTTTCTCAGAGATCTTCTCAGTTGTCGAAAAACTTTATTTCAAGTAGTTTGAAGCACTTTTACTCAAAACTGCTATAACGTACACATATCGCTGGAAATGTGCACATTAACGGCGTGAGAAATATTAAAAAAAGTTACAATTGTTTTGATAATAAATATAGATGATTTTTACAAAACTTCGATGTGTTGAAAACGCCGACATTGATGTCGCACCCCTACCCTAACCGAGACTGGTCTCCTGATGTGTGCGGTAGTGTAGTGGAGATACGTGTGTGTGTAGGTAAGTGGGGAGGACAAGGAAGAGGAAACAAAGATCGAGCAGTCCGTGCCCCGTTTGTTAGGGCGCTGGTACGGCATTCATCTGATTTTGATAGGAGAATCCATGGAAATTACTGATCAAAGCAACTGACTGCTAGAATTCTCCTCCACATAGCGATTGAATTTGCCCTAGCTATAAAGTTTGTTTCGAAAATCCTGCCATCGGAATGCGAACCTCAGGACTTCCTGGTCAGAGGCAGTGCACAGATGCGCACTGCGCTCAGAGCTACCTAAGCCGGTCGGACGATCCAGGTTATAGTGAACGTCTGGGTGCTAACATTTATGGGTCAATGTTCTCTACGTCTGATACGACAATTGAATAACATTTCCGTCACGTCAACTGCAATGAAAAAAATAGTGTTATTTGAATCCGGGAGGGCGCAATGCTCTTTCCCTGCTGGATGGTGACATCCGGCGCCGACCTACATCTCGGCTTGTAGCGTGCATTTCACTTTGTGCTTATGTCCTCCAGTGCGGCACAGATAGACGTCAACCTCGAATGAAATGAGCTTTATTGAAATTCCGGCAACAGCATTAGGGCACACAAAGAATTTCCATTAGTCTCTTTATTCGCCTTTGGTGAATTTGAAATCCAGAGAAGTCTTGTTAATGAGCCCGACCAGAGTTTCGTGACCTCCGACATTCGGAAACAGATTCGAAAATCTGGTGGTAGGTGGTGGTAGTGGTGCTGGTTTTAGGTGCACAAACTGAAGATAGCGAGTAATGAAGTACAATACTTGATCCAATGTGGATACGAGCTCAGGATCTTCTGCTATCCAGACCTGCCATAAAAGGCCCGGGGTATTCC